TTTACGACACATAGGATTCAGTGGGTGGATGGCATCTGGTCTATGACTCAGATTAGGACTATTTAGAAACGCTTCATAATATTTAAACCGAAAATTTAAATAATATCAGTTTTATCTGGTGAATGACATTAAACTTCATATTGACTTAAGCTGAAATAGGTTCTTAGATTCTGGTTCTGTTATATAAAAGGATTAGATCTGAGCGACAGTGGATCTATTTTAAAAAGGATGTGTTGAAGATCAGAACTACCAGGTTCTGAACAGGAGGAGGAAAGCAGCAGACGATGCAGAGGGTTTGATGTGACGGAGAAAGATGCTGAGAGGAGAAAATGTTAAAACCATATAGAGACAGCAACTGACAACAAAACACAGGAAATATAAACAACTTCCTGTTAAAAGACACACAACAGAATTATAATGTTGTTTGAAAAGTGACTTGAGATAACTGGTGTGAATTAGTGCTATGGAAATACACTGGTTGAAAAGTTTAATTCCTGTGCTGAACTTTCCTTTATAAAGGTGCTTCTTTAATTGTAAATAGGTTCAGATCAATATCACATCTTTTCCTTTATGCGATAAACAAGAGATATTTTATTCTGCACACAAAAAGTAACAAAGTTATTTTTACTTGAAAAAAAAATGAATGAAACCTTTTGTCTTTTATTAGAGTGACATTTTACACCGATAATATTACTTCTATTAAGATCATTTTTGAGCAAAAAAATCTGTCTTTGCTTGAAAAAGTCTTTTGCACTCTTTCTACCTCTGGGTGACAGTGGTGTAGGATTTTAGAGTTTGTCCTGCAGCCCTACCTCTTCTCTCACATTGCTTACTGATGGTACACCGTTGGCAGCCTTGCTTCCATCAGTGTGACCCAGGGCAGCATTGGCCACAGTGTAGTTTGCCACTATCAGTTTGTGAATGTGTGAATGACTGCATGCAGCAGAAAGTACTTTATGTCAGCCCCTGTAATAGAAAAGCACAAATACAGGCCATATAACATACATAACATCTGTACTTGAGTGATCTAATGCTGTGACATGTCAATACAGAAGTATTTTAAAGAATATTTTCTGAGATACGGGGTGCCAATGCAAGCACATGGGCTCATGTGCTCTACTCCCCTAGCTTTTGTGAGGATGCAGGCTGCAACTGTTTGATCCACTTTATGGCCAGGCTTGTGAAGACACTTTAGCAGTAATAAGTACTGCCAAAGATGACCTTGCAAATTAGTTTTTAAAGCTCTGCTGAGATATTATTACTTTAATCCTGGAGATGTTCTTTCTCCTGACTTTATCAGCCTCTGAAGGTTCAGGTCTGAGTCCATCACTACACCAAGAAGGACTGATCTTTAGGGTTACCACTGTAACAACTAAAACTTCTCATCGCTCCTTTGGTCAGGAAATGATTACCTCAGTTTTCTTTTTATTGAGCCAGAAGCAAAATTATAGGGTGTTTGTTGATTTCTTTTCCACAGCGCTTTAGTGGGTGCATAGTCATCTGATTACATCATGTAGTAGAGCTGTGTGTCATCTGCATAGATAGAGTTTGTTATCTCGCTGGCTATACTCTGAGCTCAGGAACACATGCAGATATTGTATAGCAAGGGACCCAAGAAGGAACATTGAGGAACGGCGCATGGGGATTTTATTCGTCTTTGGGGTTTGGTTTATTTAACTGAATTGGAGGCATCATTAGGTTTCTGTAGAGCATGATGGCCCTAACGGTATTTTATTCCAAAAAATGCCCACATCACTAATTTATTTGTTGTTCCACATTTCCACTGTGACTTGGTGCCAGAAGCTTTAGAGCCCAGAGAAGTCAGTCGGGGACAGAAGTTTTCAACACTCCAAACAGTTAATGTTCTATTTAAATGATTGAAGAACTCGCCCGTCCAGTTCAAACCCTTTTAAACACTGAAAATACTTCAAATTCCTCAAACTGTTACTCGATAGTCTGCATCGTAGAAGGAATCAGCAATCCTGTACTGCACTTCTTCTGGAAACATTTTTTTTTTTTATGTTTGTCTCAGTTTCCCTGGAAAAGTTTGAGTAATGGAAGTGAGACCCAGACAGTTTAATGTGGCTTCCATGAAGCAGTGGACCTGATCATTACACCCTGACATATTCTTCTTCTTAAAAAGGCATAACTCTGTGTCCCCCAAATCTTTCAATGGAAGGTTTCTTAAGCGTTTCAGGTGTCTGAGTCACTTCTTTCAGATTTGTTGTCCTGAGGAAACCAGAGCAATAGTGTGTTCACATTATTAGCAACAAATCCTTTGGTTTACATCAGCAAACATTCAACTTACCTTACCTGTTTTACTTCTTTTTTTATGTTTTTGGCTCAAATCATTACTTTTATTCTGCACCACTTTAGACATATCTTTGACCTTCAATACTTCTGCTTTTCTAAATATGTTAATCAAATAAACAAAAAATTTCCAAATTCTTAAAGTATAATAAAATAAAGTCTGTATCCATTTTGGACACTCAAATACAGAGAATCAAATAGAGCAAAACAATCACAAGAAAGTATATAATATTGTTAATTTCTTCAGTAATTAATTTATTTACCACATTAAGCTTTCTATGTAGACCTTTTACTTTAAAAGTACAAGAAATGTGATCTGTAGCAAAACCTTATAATAAATAGTGTTTAATAAGATTCAATTATTATTAGCCATGTAGTTAGCACCAACCTTATCAAACCATGATGCCCATAATATTAAAATATTATAATATATTTATTTGGATTCTATTGGTGGCTCTTAGAAAAAACGTGGAATGGTTGATAAATGCCAGTTGTGGAAATCTTTGCCCAGAGAACATTCTGGTGGGATAATCCAGCTCTTTTCTGCCTTTCTAAACAGATCAAGTGTTTCTCATGGCTCCTTGTTTGTTTTGGGTTGTGTTTTTCTGTGTGCAGTGATTTTTATTAATAGGTTTTAAATCCTGTTTAATTACCTGTTTGCTTCCAGTCAGAAACCCCCCGCCTGAGAACATCCACATATCCTCTCTACCTCCCAGTGTTCCCCTGGATCAGGAGTCAGAACCATCAGGTCAACAAGGTGAGGACTGCTCTTTTAAAGGACCCAAATCCTGGATTTATTTTAAAGTCAGTCATGTCAACAAGGTGACACCTTCAGATCCTACTTAGGACTAAAAAGTGTTTCTTTTTTTTACTAAACCAAAACATGTTCATATTTCTGCTCCTATTCCAGAGTCGTGAACTCTCTTTCATTTGACGAAAAATCTTGTAGCATCTTTCCAAGGCCAGAAAAAAAAATTATTATCTGCTTTTTATCTATATATCTTACTTCTTTATTCATTGTTGGCTATTTGGCTGCTAGATTAGTTGATTCTGAAGCAAGGCCTTGGATAATTTTAGTGTTAGTACTACAGTACATGCTGAACAATCAATCTAACAGCAGCTGAATTCGGATGATCATCACAAATGAATGCATCATTGACTATAACTGCAAAAACTAAAGGAGAAGCATGCATCATTTTCAAGTTGTTGGAAAATAAAACTTGGAGCTGCTTTCTTCCCATGTGCTACCCACAATGTAGAGCTACAATTATAGCAACAAGCCTTTTGTTTGCACATCTAGAGGATGGATTGTTTGCCTGTTCTTCTCAGGCTCAGTGGGATCTGATGGGGATCTAAACTATTCTCTACCTGGAAGTCCACCCAATGAAAAGTAATTTGCAGGTTTATGCTCTTTATATAGGTTACTTATTGTCCCTTCTAGTCTGTGACGATAAGGATTAAAAGCACCTCCACAGCATAATGCTGGTTTGTTCAGGGTAATATGTAGTATTTGTAGCAGGCAGGCATGTGGAGTTTAGCACTTAAAGCAGTCCTGTTCACAGATTCCTCAATCTGAATTGTGGATCAATACAGCTAAGTTGGGCGTTCATGTATTGGCAGCACATATATATATGTATGTATAAATGTTTGCATGCATGCATGCACACAGGCAGGTAGATAGGTAGGTAGGTAGGTAGGTGTTTTTAGTACTTAACCAACCACTCACATTTGTATAAACTGCCTATGTTCTCCTGGACACTTTTTATGCTGATATGTTTTATGTTCTTTAGATGCACCTTATGATGTTTCAGCAGAGGACTCTGTGCAAAACCAGGAGAAAGCAGTAATCCAGACCACACACACTCACAGGGGGTTGTATGCACCTTCAGTATTCCTCCAGAACCATAGTAATGAACCACCTCCATCTACATACTTCGAACAGAGGGTCCCCGTTCCTGAGGAGGACAATGAGGTAATCTGAACCTGTACAACTTAGATTTGCTTATTCAATTTCAAACTGGTGTTGCTCGCTCAACAGCTTGTATTTCTGCTTGTTATAGAGGTTGTTTAGTCTGCGTAAACTCTGGGCTTTCACTGGACCTGGGTTTCTGATGAGTATCGCCTACCTGGACCCAGGAAACATCGAATCTGACCTCCAGTCAGGAGCTAAAGCTGGATTTAAGGTAACAGACATTCAGAGGTGGGTGGAGTACCCAAAGAATACACTCTTTCCCCACTACCATCAGACCACCTAACAATTGGAAAAAAAAAAACTCTAAATCAAGTCACAAATTCTGCATCACACTGATAACACCAAACCAAAATACTGCATATTTGCACCGTATATATTTGTCTTGAAATGCTCTGAACTTCAATATCAATGAATTTTGCACCATGTCTTTCTCCCACACTGTTTACATTTGATCAGTGCTGTAGTTTAAGGAATGAAAATATTCGTTTCACTGCTAAGCTGCTGCTCATTTACAGTCTGAAAGCTTTGCAAAACAAAATTTCCTTTTGTATACACTCTGTCTATACAAAATCTCAATAACAGTTATCCAATAAATTACTCAACTAAGGGTTAAAAAAGTCTGAGGGAAAATGGCTACTCAAGTACTGAATAATTGCTGGCTCATGACATCTGATTAATTTTTTGAAATTATGTAATCATTATGATGTTTAAAAGTATAAAATCAAATATAAATTAGAAACAGAAAACGGTAGATAATTTAAATATAACTATTTTTTTGCAGAAGAAACACTTTTTCGGATGAAATTTCTTAATATAAACTTTTCAAACCAATATTTACAGTAAGTAAAGCATATATGTTAGAAAAGGATAAAGTTCAAATCTACTGTTTAATTAATTTAAACCTGATCTCCAGATAGCTATTCATGGTGGGTGAGGTGATGAGAAGATTTATTTAACCAAGTGTAAGTTACAGTAAAAGTACAGTAAAGCACAACTACTCCCTAAAGTACATTTGTTTCTAAAAGTTACTCAAGTAAATATAAGTAAGTAAATGTAACTAGTTACTACCCACCATATGTAGGTGTCCTGCTTGGTTTTTAATTTTGTATTTCAAGAATAATATAAAAATCAGCTTGATATTTTATTTAGCAGAGAAAACGATTGTTATAGTAACATATAAACATTTTGTGATCAATAAATGAGTCATTTACACCTAGAATATTTATTCAGAAACTATTATTATAAACAACAAAAATTCAAATGTCTTGCAGCAGGATTATGAAGTAAATTATTTTCTAAATTCTGTTTGTGTTAAAAAAAAAATATATATATATTTTTGTCTTTGTCCCACTTCTGTCTAAATGTAAAGTAGAACTTTTTTCATTAGACCACAGTGTTGAATTCTGGCTTTTTCTTTAGATATCAGAATTTTATCAGCACCTGTTTAAAAAAAGTTAGGGATAGGGGAGGCAAACCATTAGCAGAAGCTAAAGTCGTTACATTACATTAAAATGTAATGTAATGTAATTCATTACATGAAAAACTGTTACAGTTTTTCATGGCACTGGTACCTTGGAACATTCACTAATACTAATTGGAAAGAGGCTTAAAAAACTTAATGTCAGAGTAAACAACACAGTCAAAGGTATATTTCAAGGAAAAAACAAAAAATGTTGAGAAAAAAGCTATTTCTTTCATTAATTAAAGTCAAAATATATAGAATAAAGTGGAAATAAAGCTTGAAGAAAAGGTTTCATCCTCAGTTAGTGTTTATAAGCCAAAAGAGAAAAATGCACTAATGTATGAACTATATTATTCTGTAGAACATTTCTGTCATTAACACAAGGCAAGGCTTTCAAAGGGATTTATTTACATCAGTGCCATTTGGATAGTTTGTAAATGTTTTGAGGTTTTTTCTCATCATTTTAACTTTGACTATTTTCTACCCATGTCAATCTTTGTCGTTATTGGTATTTTTTGTAATTATTTACTTGTTTTTCCACTTTTCTTATCATTTTCATGTTTTTCTCAGTATTATGTATCTTTTAACATTATCTTGGCTCATTTTAGCTTTTCCTTTGTGTCAGTCACATTATTTTCATTTTTTTTCTTCCCAAAATGACCCTCATGCTCATCTTTAAATGAAGTAGAATCATCTTTGAATGATGCAGAAACAGAGGAAATATGTGGAAACAATTTAACAAAATATTTGTAGATTACAGCTGCAGGATGTTTTTTTTTAGAGTTAATTTATTCCAAGATAGAGATTGTAAAAATATATAGAATAATATAAGTATAAATACACACATTTTCTGAAAACATGTCTCATATTCTCAGAACTTTGCACACAATAAAAAAATAAAAATTTACAAAATCAAACATTTCTACAATATTAATTCTGCACGCAAACCATAAAATGGCAAAACATATGAATATATATCTGAAGAGTCAGGAGCTCAGTGTAAAACCCTATTATGGAATGAAAAGAATGAAGGGAAATCGCAAACCAGTACAGAAATGTCTGACTAGAATGTATTTTTTTAACCTTTTTTTTCCAACTTGTAGAGCCAGAACACACAAAAACACTATATCTTACAAACTGTTTGGTATATTTTCTTTTTCCCACAAAAAACATGACATTCCACCAATACAAAGGTTGAAGACATACAAAAAAGCTGAAATTTACAGCAGGTTGCACCTGTGGCTGTTAGCAGATTGCTAATTGCAAAACTTAGAGACAAAGTTTTACCAAGTTTGCTCTAAGAACTTTGAATGACTGTGTTCCTTGTGAAAATCTTACATGTCACTCATGCAAAATGGGCCTAATGCATCAAAAATGTGTGTATTGTTTTTTAAAAAGTGTATTTTTGTACTAAATCTCAAGAGGAGAGAAGAAGCTTATTTTATAGTACAGCAGAAGAGGTTTCATGGATTGGTGCATGAATTAAATGTTGGGATGCACGATATAATCGGCCCCCTATCGGTATCGGCCTGTATCGGCCTTAAAACTGATCAGCTTCTGAGTTTATGCTATGAAATCCCCCGAAAATTCACGAAATTTTGCCATATTTTTATATGTTGATATATTAACGCGGTATTGATCTATTTTACTAACAAAATCTCACAAGAATTTCCAAATATCACGAGAGTTTGTAACAGAACAATGAAATTTCATGAGATTTTGAAAGTAAAATCGATCGATACCGCGTTTTTAAAAACCTATTTGATATCAGCATATGAAAATATATTTGAGTATATTATTTTTCAAAGTGTCAGAAATGTATAACAAAATTGCTATTTTCAATGACTACCGGTACTTATTTTTGTCCAGCTTTAACATCGGTATCGATATCGGTTATCGTCTACATGAGTTTTAAAATATCGGCATATTGGATATCGGCCAAAATCCCAATATCGTGCATCCCTAATTAAATGTCATCAAATTTCTTGAAATACCAGTTTTTGATGAAAACCACTGAGAACAACTGTAATAAGAAGAAGGGATATCAAAAATAATTATATTAAATTTAAGAGCACAGGCTAAACTATATATTTTTTATGTTATATGGTTTGATTGTTAGTTGTAGTTTGTGTTATGTAATGGGACTAACAGATGCTTTCTCTGCTTTAATCCCATCAGCTCCTCTGGGTGCTGCTGTTGGCCACCATCATCGGCCTGCTGCTGCAGCGGCTGGCGGCTCGGCTGGGCGTGGTAACCGGGATGCACCTGGCTGAAGTCTGCCACCGCCAGTACCCCACTGTGAGACATAACAATACATCCTCAGCATTAACCTATTCCACACCTTTTATCTGGGGTGTGCCTGAGACACAAAACAAATCTGCAGCGTTTTTTTGAGGAGCTCAGAAATCTGACAGAGAGGTTTCACAGAGGTTTTCCCACTTTACCAGGCGCACTGACAGAGTCACTGTAATCCTTGGATTAAAGATGAAGCCCATGACAGCTGAAGCATATAACAAGGAGGGTAACTGAATGCATTTATCAAGCAGGAGACTTATTCAGCTTTAAATATTTTTTTTCCACATGCATCTAAGAAGAAGATCCAACTATTTACACATATGAGCTACCATCTATAACTGGTCAACTGATGCTTAACAAGGGTCTGCAAAAGTGTATAAAACCCTTATTAAGAACTTGCTCTAATTTTGTTCCATAAGGTTAAACCTGAAAAACAATGTAAACTTGATTGATACTCTAAACATGAACTGTTAAAAATTTACCCATCACTTTATATTGAAATGAGATCAAATATTTAGATCATTAAGTCATGAACCAATTAACATATTAATATTGTTGTCATAGAGCCTTTAGCAGAATGCAGTTTGAGCGAGAAACCTTTTAATGTTCATGTTTATATGCAGAAAAAAGAGATTATGTTAAAATTAGTGGAAACGTGTAGAGCATTCATTTGCCAGTTAGCCTTTGATTTAGATTTTAGATTTAGATTTTACTCAAAATTTTAAATGTTTGTCCATGTTTAGTTTTGATTAAGGAAAATTAATTAGACAAAATAACATGCATGCATTACAGAAAGCCTTGGGCACTGCCTCAAGTGTTTGGGAATAAAAATGCTCCGAGACGTACAGTGGTGTAAAATTATTTACGGACGTTTTAAAGAAAGTTTTTGATATAATCACATATTTTAGGTAAAATTAGACAAATAATAAGGTCAAATCAAACTCAGACGAACAGCAGCAATGATAATTTTCTGCATATGTTTTTGTTCTGGTTGATTGTTAATACCTGAAAAAAGCACCTGAAAAAAAGTTTAATCATCTGTTGAACTTCAAATTTTTTCACATTACAGCTTCTTATTTTTATGTACTTTATTAGCATTTAGTGGAATAGCCAAACACTATGGTGTACATAATTGTGAAGCAGAAGGAAACAGCTGGTTTTCAAGTTTTCTGATGTGAAAATCTAAAGAGTGAGTTGTGCATTTTTCTTCCTTCTGATCAGTGGTTTGCAGAAACCTTTCATGCAGATAAGTCTAAAGCCCCGCTCTGAGCCAATTTCCAGCCCCTGAACTAATTTGTGCTGCTTCTTAATATAATTCAGGAGTCTTATAAAATTTATCAGCCAGTGCAACTTGTTGGCATGTAACAAATAGCGTCTTTGAATGGAACATTTTTTAGGTAAGAAAAGACTTTGTCTTTAGTGAACCAAAGTTTTTGAATTAGATTTTATTTCATATCAAATATATCAAGCCTTTCCAGGAAAAGCATGAGCCAAATCCGTTGTTTTTTTTCCTGAAGATAGACATTTTTCTAAAATTGTTTAACACTACAAAACTTTTTTTTAATGCAAACGGCCAAAGCGCTCTTTAGGTTTTGGCTCTACAATTATTAACACACCATTCTCCAAGAAAAACTAAACACGTTAAGTATATTCTTAAGTTTATTTTTCTCAACTATAGCTGTATACAGTGGGGCAAAAAAGGATTTAGTCAGCCACCAATAGTGCAAGTTCTCCCACTTAAAAAGA